CAACTTTATTGTTGTGCTGAAACAGGAGAGGGCCTTTCCCAGATTGTTTCACAAAGTTGGAACCACACTTTTGTCTAAAACAGTTTTTCTCAATCCTGATGCATGTTTTAGATGTTTCCCTGCTCCAACACACCTGATTCAGCTCGTCCTCTCTGTAGAAGCCTGATCACACCCCTTTCATTTGAAGCAGGTATGTTGGAAGAGGGCCCATGCTGGGTGGTGGGTCCCCAGGAGGACCCGGGTTGAGGAACACTAGTCTTAAAGATCACGGTGTGCTGTAACATTGAGGTTTTGCATAATTTGTTGTAAGGGACCAAGCCCAAACCAGGAAAACAACCCGATAATAGCCATAAAAGCTCACAATACTGTAGTATGTGGCCTGGGGTTTCCACATACTTATGGTCAAATACTGTAATGTTGAATGTTACATAATCACATTTGTGTATTGTGATCTTGTGTTTGTTTGCAGAGGGGGGAAACCCACAGGACTGAAAATGGACTGGTTCCACTGTAATCAGTGTTTCACAAGGAGGGGGTCGAAATTTGCTGTGTCCAGCTGTGGCCACATCTGCTGTGAAGCATGCATTAAATCTAGTAAGGGTTCTATACTATTTACTCTGCATGCTAAGTTAATTTGCTTCCACTTGTTGACTATGAGTATTTAGCATCATGGCTCGGATAAGACAGAGTCTCAGCCATTGTATGCCTCTTGTGATTGTCTTTTCCCATAGAGCAGTGCAGCGTGTGTGGGGCCAGCTGCAGTTATCTGCCCATCACAGATGAGGTGGGTGAGTTTGACACCAACATAGAATGACTGTATTTCACAATGCATTATATTTGCACAAATGTTCTATTTCAGATGAAGCCACATGAAAAGGTGTTTTTCAAGGACCCTGTGAAGCTCATCCAATCACGGCTGGAGCACATTTCACAGGTCTGTCTCCTGTGTGCAGGGTTTCCCCCAAGCTCCTTTGCTGCTGCCCTTTTTAATTGCTATACTAGGATGTTAAATGTCAGAGCAGTCAGTCAATTAATAACCAGTCAGTGAGTTATTTAACAAGAGACTGCTTCAGTTAGAGTGATACTTGACAAGAATGAAAGTATTTTAGGATCCTTGTATGATCATTTGGGAATCCTTGGGCCACAATCCAAAAGCCAGAGATGATTTACATAGTAAATCATACATTACATTGTTATATTTTCACTGAGAGACTATTTGATTTGCTCCACAGATTGCGCTTTTTCAGCGGACACAAATGGAGAAAGTCACGGCGCACTTCAAGCATAAATCTGTTGAACTGGAAAGGCGCCTGAAGGAAGTCACTGAGCAGGCTTACGGGTGATTTTAATATCTTATTATTCTTCTGTGGCTGTGAAAATAAAACCCAGATTGCAACGCTATTCTTTCCACGTCTGTTATCGCAAGGCAACTCTCCGAGCTGAAAAGAGAGAATGGTGACTTAAAAAAGAAGCTTTCAGAGCTGAAATGGGAGACTGCTGAACTGAAAAAGCCACTTTCTCAGAGGAGGGTAAGTGTTCCAAAAGTCTAATAAAGAAAAAGTTAATGTTGCCAAAAAAGCCAGTATTCAGGTAATAAGTTACTAATCTAATTTATTCTGCACACTTTCTGCCACAGGTTTCTCCAGGACAGTTTCAAATAGATGGGTAAAACCAATTTATATTTCAGCATTGTCATGTTTAATTGAACACATTTTAACAAACTTTCTTGTATTAAAGTTTTTTAATAATAACTTTCTATCTCATAAATAGTACTCAAAGGATGTCACTCCCTGTGGCTGTCACCTCCCCAGGTAAACCCAGTGATTTAAGTTGAATTGTTAGTTCATATGTTTTAGTGTTGGTAGTGCATTTAAAATGTTTTGATTCGAGCTGATGAGGAGCTTGTACACATTTTCTTTTACCAGTCACCCCTCGTTCAAGAACCATGAGGTAGGAGGTCAGGCTCTAGTGGATTTCATGCTTTTTCACTTCTTCATCTTGTCTATACTTTAAAAAAAATGGCAAAATATTGTAGGCCTTAACACGTTGTCTTGGTTTTAGTCAAATAGGCTCAGCAGAGCTGCAGGGGTGGGCCAGAGACAGAGGTCCCAGTCTGTCCTCCCTCAGAGTAAGTCTTGAAGTTATAATGGCTCCATGTAATATGTTACAAACCTGCTGTACATTCATGTTGTCATGTCAGAAACAAAAGTATTTACTAAGAAACCCTCATTTGCAATCATTAAACATACCGTTTATATACAGCATTTTATAGAGCAAATTTGGTTTTACATAAAATAAAGGAAATACTTTGTTTTTGTCAGACTCCAGGATCAGCAACCTCCACCCACAGCTCTCTTCATGAACATGTACACAGTAAGTGTGGCTGTAGCTCTACCGTAGGTTCCATGATTTTACAGGATACACTATTTAATCAACTCACAAATCAAATGCATTCTATCTTTAATCAAAATCCTTTCACTCCTCTGTATTAAAAAGGCACACCCACATCCTTTAGCACTCCTACAAGGTAAGAAATGCTTTCCAAATAACTTCTGCCATGAAAACATTGTATTACATTTCGAAATGTTCTTAATGGGAAGATTTTCTCATGACATTGCTAAGTCAGTGCATTTCTGTCATCCTCAGAACTCAGCGTCAGACTCCTAATGTTTTCCAGTTCCAGTTTATGAGTGGATTATCAATACACTCACCCAGGCGTTAATGAAATGGCCCCCTGGGGATATTTTTGTCAGTTAAGTTCATCAGGACTGTCACGTCTTTGTTGGGTGATTATAAATTGGTTTTTGCCCAGAAACAGCAATGACTAAGTGTCTTGTACGTTGTGGGGTATAGGTACTTAATAATTGTTACGTTTATGTGAACGTTGTACCATATGGTTTCTCTGTTTAGGAATTAACCTGCTACATTATCTTACTGGTCATTGGTTGACTCATTTTTTTTCTGGCAGCACAATTATTAGCAGCAATATATATCAGAACCATTTCTGCAGATGAATTACACAGCCACTTCTCACATCACAGAATTTACATTGATGAAAAAATAAATTTCAAAATCAATCAGTATCAGTTTGAGTCATTACAGCACACAAAAAACATTTCTTGCACACATGATTATAAAGGCAAATCCTTTACTGGTTTCCGGTGACACAATTGTGCAAATGAGAACAGGATAAAAATACATTGAAAACATCTGCAAAGGAAGACACTAATTGTTATGGACATTTCCTCACAGCATGACACTTACATTAACTTTTCATTACTAATAGAATGACAGACCACAGTGATGCACACTGCTTTACCAACAATCTGGTCATCTAACTTCTGTCCAGACATTTCTAATGAACTAAACTGGCTTCATGTAAGCCACTTCACCCCTGTTGGTCAACTAAGAAGAACTATAGTTTTTTTTTTTCTGAACTGATGGATGTATAATGTTTGTGCTAAAATTCATAATCCGATTGAACACGAAACAGATTTTTTTCTCTTTGGATGCAAACCCTTTGTTACTTATGCACTACATGGACCCCCATCAGTCATCTTCTCTACTTTGTCTATATTATAAACCATCAATTCACACCCTACACCTACAAAGACAAAAGAGATGTAAAAATACTGACTGAATCAATGAGTGCAAATCAAAACTGAAGTTGGCAATTCTGACATCTGTATGATGTCAATGTGATTGCTGCTTTCTTAGTTCTGTTAGCCTTTACTGTTAAAAAGGTGCAAATGACAAGCAAAGTATTCAAATAGTAAATCAAGTATTACAGCAGAGCGTCGAAAAGAGAATTGGAAATGTGTTACAGAAATGTGCTGTAGACAGTAGAAGAATTAGATGCATCATGCGGTTTTCAAAAGGCATGATAATTGGTTTCAGTGTTAAGGGATCAAGAATGACACTGTTTAGTTAGCAACTCATCTTTTGTCAAAGAATTGGATTTAATGAACATAATGGCAGCAGGCTCTAAAACCAAAGTGCAAGATGTCAATTTAAAGTGTACATGTCCAGTGTGCTTTTCATGATAAGGAATTATTATTGGCTGTAAAGGAATGATTACACACAGTGATCAGTCAACAAATTCATCAACATAGAGATCTTTTTCTGGAGCAGTTAGTTATCTGCCTGCTTACAGTCAGGTACCAAAAGTACAACCAGTTTAAATTATACTGCTACAATAGCATACTAAAATATATGTAGTAATGATATCTAAACAAAATAAGCTTAAAAAAAAAAAAAAAAAATATATAGCAAACCAGTGTACGAGTTACTGTCCTATTTCCAGCAACACAGGCAGCACAATTATAATTCAAGTCCAAATATATTAGGATAAGCAGGAAATGCAGCATATGTAAAAAAACACAAACCTCACTTTGGGCTTGGACTGGGAAGACTGGATGTTACAAACCTGCCTCAATTAAAGCAATTTAAACCAAAGTAATAACTATGCTCGTTGGTGCAACCGATGTGAGGAGCACTCAACCAACTTTTATAAATGTTTTTGGGTCTAGTTCCAGTGTCTTAATCAGTAACAGTAGGTTCTTGGTCAGTCTCCCCTACATCCTGAGCTGCAAACCAATCCCGCACTTGCTGGTAGCTCATTCTTGATTTCTTGCATAGAGTGTCAAGGTCTTTTTCATGTAGTGGGCCTGTTGAAAGGTAATATGTTACCAATGGCTGGATATCAGGGGTATCTGTACTTGCTGCATTTGCTTGAGATTTTCGTTTGCGGCCCCCTCGAGTAGAAGACCCAGAGCCACTTCCGTTAGTTAAACCACTGCTACTTTGCTGGGCTGCAAGTTCTGCCAAGAACTGATCACGCACCCCCTTCACCCAGCGCAGCTGGCCGTTTTTAACGGCATACCGGGTGTCCCCAAACCACTGGATAACATCTGCGCGGGGTAAACCAGTAAGCTTAACAAGTTCAGTGTAATCTTCACTCTTGGGCCACTGGCAGCGTAAGAAGTGCTGCTTTAACACATCTAACTGCTCCTTGGTCTTTCTTGGTCGCCCAGCAGGAGTGAGGGCAGGGGATGTGGAAGCGCCTGAGACGCGCGAGGGCGTTTGTGAGGGACTGGCTTTGGCTGAGTGGACTGACTTCTTTGATGTGCTGATGCTCTTTGAAAGCGGTTTATTGGGTGAGGCAGTCAGTGGTGGGCTGCCAGAGGGGGAAGAGTAGGGAGAGGATTTTAATGTACCTGATGGTTCCTGTGGAACATCTGGCTCAATCTTACAGGTCTTGGTCAGTTGTAAGGGTTGTTCTTCACTTTGTTCCTCGTCTTTAAAACTGTCCCCATCACCAGAAAGCTCATCCAAACCATCATACCCATCTGCCTCAAGAACCCTTTCCCCAAATGCTTCCAGGCTGTTTGATAAAAAGGTCTGAAAGAAATGTGAATTTCTAATCCCACTGGCACGGGCACTGTCAGGGCCCTTCACCCCGTTAGGTGGACGAGTCTTTTGAGTAGTGAGTGGAAGCGGTTGTATTTGTTGATCTTGTTTACCTCCAACTGCAGTGTGTTGAGAGTAGTTCTGGGCTGCTGCCAGGCTTCCTCGGCCAACCCTAAGCTGGTATCGGCTGTCACTGAACCATTTACGAATGTCATTACGGCTCAACCCAGTTTCTTCCTGCAAACGTCTAAGCTCTGCCTCTGCAGGCCAGTTCTCTCTCAGAAAGCTTTTTCGAAGAGCAGCAAGTTGAACTTTAGACTTTTTGTAGCGCCCGTGACGGTGCTGTCGCGAAGATGACTCTGAAAGGTCAAGGGAGGCATCGGTTGCTGTGCTTGCTGGTGTGTCCGCTGGTGGGCGGTAGAAGTATGAATCCTGAGGAGGCGGGAGGGTGGAACTGAAACATGGGGCACTGGGTTTGGCTGGTTTATAGGAATCTGGTGACTCACACTTTGGTTTCTTATTCTGGGGGGTGATGCTGGAGAGAGCATTCTCTTCTTCATTGCCATCCTTATCCTCAATCACCAATTCCTCATAACCTTTACTCTTGCTCTTTATTTTGGCCTCCTCGTTTGTTTCAGTAGAGTCATCATAAAGCTCGGGTACTGCTAGCTTCCGCCGTGTCTCCTCTATCTCCTCTGAGGACCAGCTGATACCATATTTAATTCTCTGCACCATAAACCACACCTTAACTTTGTCCAGTGGCAAGGCACATATCCGGGCCAGCGTGTTCACTTCACGGGATGATGGGTATGGAAATAAGTTGAAGGCTTGGACCAGCTCGGGGATTGTGTCAAGTTCACGGGTTTGATCCGATTGTGTCCATACCAATTTCAATCCCTCCGACACTAGAGGCAGGCACACAACAGAGTTGTGGTTAGTGGTGAAACTAGCCACGCCACTTGCGTTGCTTTCAGCTGGGCTAGCAGAGTGGCGCAAATCCTTGGAGGAGCGTTTAACTTCAAGCTTTCTTTCACATTCTATCTTTGTGACTTTCCCTTGAAAAGGCTCCTTCATGCTTATAAGAAGTCCATTTCCATTATGTTCACTGTAGGTCGCCATCTGGGATATTAAAGTAGGCTCTTTCACCTAGAACAGAAACAGAAACAATGCGTTATTTCCCGCCAGGCAAGATCACTGTAAGGAAAGGAAATTTCCGTCTGAGGAGCACAGCCAGGAGTACAGATTATGATGTTTTAAGAACTTTCTGTTCTCATTCATTCTCAAAGTCAATTATCTGACAGCTGTTCCCCCTCCCCCCTACTTTGCACTCCTAATTCTGAACTCCCAATGAAACTAGTCGTAGACTCTGTCCAGACTGGGCTCCCCTCCCCCAAAGTGTGGTGACTGACTTTTGTTTTGTGTGAGTGGGGGGATTGGTTGCAGAGGGTGGGAGTGTGGGGAATCTACGAGAAATCCATCACAGTCTTACTTTATCACCCCTTTCCAGTCAGGCTTTGTTCCACTCCCAAGTTCTCTGTCCCGAAACTGAAGTGTAGCCTCTTCACAAAGGCTGATACCAGAAGAGAAACCTGGGGAAGGAGAAATGGGTTGCATTACTTATACTGAAGTCCAAGTCTGGGCACACTCAAATATTCCTCATGAAAAAAGGCTTGAAAAACTACATTAGTATAAATTTAATTTAGTTTTTAAGCAACAGGTGTTAAGCCAACACTTATCACACTGTAAATGTCTGTTTGGTAGTTAAAGGGCTATATACAATGAATTGTAGGCTAATTAATTGATATATTTCCTGACCAGTATTTATTGACACTTCTGACCCATTGCAGTTATGACTTAATTCTATGAATCAGGTGTCCTGTAACTACTAACTGGACAGTGTCTTTTAGGTAATCACCCTATGTACTCTTCATTTGTGAGTAATTGTTCTTTATTTGGGACAGCAGGGGAAATGTTGCGCATTTAGTTTAAGAGGTTACGCCATGGCCGACGATTTGGGTCGCTTGAGCCACGCAAGAAACGTTTAAGTGTGCCAAAAACATGAGCAAACAATTATGAAATCACTGTATTAGTCATTCGTGACACAGTGAAACTCATTGGGATGAGATCAAGCGGTGGCCTCCCCAGTGTCCGGGCTTTTACTTTAACTCACAGTAGGACTTTCGACGCAGTATTTTTGTTTTAGTGTAACAAAAAGCTCTAAAAGTTGAGCAGTGTGCCAGTAGCAGTCCAGTGTCTCCCCCTTTATGGCGTACCAACTAAAACGCTTCACACTGCACAGGCGCACTCCACCGTCAGACACGCTTCAGTGAAACATAAAAATAAACTTACCGAAAATGCCCAAACAGCCCTTTATCCCCGAGGTCCGTTTGAGCGAAAAGAAAACAAAAGGAACCCAGAGTTTCCCCTCTTCCACTCCGCTTCTTTATGGCCGAAGTTTAGCGGAAGACCAGGGAAACAATACCGTCCGTCTGTCTGTTTGACCCTTGTCTTATTTATCAAGCACCTCGACGGATTACTGTCGGGATACAAAGATGCGAGGCGACCAAGTTTGTCGCCTTTCGTAGGAGTTCAGTCGTCGGCTCAATCCTGCCGTAGAGGGCTCAAATCTCCCAATCCGTGAGATTCAGGTCCGAATGTGAGTCTCCGTTACTTCGCCCCTTCTCGGTCCATCCGTTGTTGCTTTTGTTCTTTAACTGAGAAGTGTTTTCCCTGTCCGGCCAGATCGAGGCGAGGCGGAGCTGAGGACCAGGAAGCCCACAAGGCCCAACTGACTCTCCCACAGTGACGGCGGGGTGGGTGTGCCAGTCTGGGAGAGCAGGCCATGGATTGGAGGGGGGAGGCGCCTGTATAATAAATCCGTGGCAGTAGGCTAAACATTTTCACGTCAACCACCCACCAACAATCAGGCCCACAAACATCTGATAGGATTTCACAACGGGAATCATGGCGTTACATGTAAACACTGAATTCACCCGATCGCTGCTGTCCCAACTGAGAGCAATAAGGGACAGGAGGTTCATCTTTTCTTTTTTTCATTTACGCACAGCCTCCCCCAAGACCCCTGAAAGGTTCTTGGACTATCCTTATTATTAGTTTCTACCACTCAGGGTACTAGTTTTATGCATTTTTGCAACCTGGGATAAGTTATATTGTGCATTTAATACATTTAACACTTGATATTTGTTATTAGTTTTAGACTTGCAGTATATTTAAATGTAATTACTTTTGTACACATGAGTAACTCCATAAAGAAGATAGTATTTCCCCATGATTTTATTTGCCTTTACTACAGAGAAGGCTTTGGAACAGGATTTAAATCATTCGATTTCATTTGAAATGTAAACCTTTCATTGCAGCAGTAATTTGGGGTTTGGTGGTGTGGCTGTGTCCCTGAAATGCTCCAAACTGATTTAAAGGACCTAACTGAACCCCACAGGCGTCTGTATTTGATGACCTGGGAATGAGAACGGGCTGTGAAGTGTGTGGGAGAAACAACAGTGGCAGCCAAACTAATGAAAAACACAAATGGCCCTATCTACAGCCTGTGTTTGTCCGTTCTGGGCTACTGTAGAAACCTGGTGGTTCAACATGGCAAACTCTCGGGAAGAAGACTGACGGCACCTGTAGATAAAAACTGTTCATTCTAAGGTAACAAAAACAGATCAACTCCTATATTCAGGTGATTATATACGAATGGAAACATACCTGTAACTTTATTATATTCAATTTCTGACAATTGATGCGCCTAAATGTTACACACTGGAATTTTAAGGTTGAAAAAGAAAAGAAAATGTAACATTTATAGGACGAGTGTGCAGGGATAATGTAAAAGGCCCTATAGACAGCGTTTGGTCTGTCTGTTCTAGGCTTCTGTAAAAACATGGTTCAAATAATTGACTTGAATTAAGACCCATAGAGGTTTAGACATAGTGATAAACCCAAGTTCTAAGAAGAAAATAATCCAGCTGTAAGTTGGTCATTTATTTCTCTGTAGCATTTATAATAACTTGTTCATGCTAAATAATAGTATCATATATACAAGATGTAAATATTCATCTTTCTGCAGTTTGGAGATGCTATCTTTTATTTTGTAAAAAGGAGTGACAAGTGTAAACAGTAGCAAGTTAACATTTCTTTATTGAACCAGTTGTTAGCCAGTCAAGTACAGTAGTAATAGTAGTTTAGTATATATGTATACATAGATTTAATAGAAATATAACAAGTAAGTGAAAAAATACACAAGCATACGTTTATAAAATGTGTCTTTGATATAATGTGATCGTTGTTATTTACCACTTAAGAAAGTGCATAACATAATAATAAAGTCCCATTTTCACATTGTGTGGCTTCACCCACAGTTGATATTAGTGTTAAATACAGAAAATATGCTAAAGCATCCTTCATGTTTACCAAACTTCATAAAAAGACCTTCATTAAGTATTCAAGTAGGAATGGCTGTATATTCACATAAACAATATTCCTTCAGCAAATATCAGTCAGTCTGAATTGTTTTGGTTCTTGTCATCCTTCAGCCCCCAGTAATCTGGGCCACTGACATGACAACTTTAGGTTTAGCTAGAATTATAACCATGTGGTTGAAACACAGTATGAAATTGCCACTTCAGTACCGATATAATGTTTGAAATGTTTAGAACCGGTTATTTGCCAGGCTGAGCACAAAGCGTGGCAGGCGTAGGAATGAAGGGACAACAGCTGACAGCCAGGAGAGATATGGGACTTGGGTTACGAGGAATTTTAGGGAAGTGAAATCAACCACACTCCGTCCTGAAAATAAACAGTTAAAGTAAATATTAGAATCATTGTCTGTACGTAAACGTAACTTTTAAAAAATATATATAAAAAACTAATAGGCACTTACCATCAATATCTTTTATCCCATAGCGTCTGGACAGGTCACAGGTCATGAGGACTTTCCCAGTCAGTGACATCAGATTTTTATCTTTTGGACAGAAAGAAAAAAACAATATGCTTAGTTTTTAAAGAAATAAGAAATTATTTTTATTAGTTACTATTAAACAGTCTGACGGATCTACCATCTTGTACAGTGTAATCCCACCTTTTGCCAGGTTGACTATGCACTTCCCGCTCAGTTCCGTGGTTTCTCCATTGGCAAACACATCCTTTAACTGAGGAAAAGAAACCCCAGAGACTTCAGAGTTCACGCTCTGTGATGCGTCTTTCCCCAGCACGAGCTGAGACACCAACTCCGTTTGCACCGGTCCCGGCCACAGGCTGATGGAAGCCACTCCCCTGTTTTTCAGCTCAACAGCCATGTCTGCTGCCAGCCTGTCACACTGGAAACAAACAGGTTTCTATTACTCTGACCTAATTATACAATACATGTACTTGAACTAAATGTGATTTGGCTTTCAATAACATAGGACTTAATGAGAGGAGAACTTACTGCGGCTTTACCAACGCCATATGGCACATTGAAGAGGTACCGCAGCCCGCCCATAGATGAAATGGTTACTATCAAACCCCGACCTTGAGCCACCATCAACCGGGATGCATAAACTGAGAAGAAATAGTGGCCCCTGCCAGATAAATAAAAATGGAAACAAGTCAAATCATTTTTGTCCACTCCCTTTTACACAGTGCAAATGAATACTGCTTGAATTTACAGTAAACTTATCACACTATGTGTCACATCATGCCCCCAGTTTCTTGTTTTGTAATGTGTTCCAGAAAATTCCCACTAAACGCAAGAAGTCGAAAACAAGTTGAGTAATGTCTGGATATCTGTCACTACGCACGAGGAGATGAATAAGCAGCTTGCTGCTAGTGACTCAGTTAATTTATCAGACATGAATAAGCCCCCAAAAAAAACCATACCTGAGGCCTGTGTTGTTGATGGAGTCCCACATAGACGGATCCGTTTCCCAGAACTTCTTCCCCATACTTTCAAAGATAGCCTGGAGTAACAAATAATCCGCAAGTAATTCTACTATATTAAGTTTGCGACACACCAAGTAGTGTTTCACGACAGTGCAGTGTACCTACCTGTACTCCAGCATAGGCATTGTTAACCAGGATATCCAGCCGGCCGTTCTGTTCACATTTGATCCGCTCAAACAGTTCTTCAATGTCTTTGTCATTTGTAGAATCACAGATAACTGGCACACAGTCTCCACCCCTCTCCTTAACCTGAGAACAAACAAATTCTGACTGAAACACTCACATTTCAAGAGCACCGATTTTGTACTGGAGGGAGGAATTTGCATATTTGGGAGCTCAGCCTACGGATCACAAATAGATCGAAGAGGTTAACGGACACTGCTTTTTGTCACTCTACCTAATATCGGTCTGACACAGCGCTCCTAACAAATTCAAGCTCAGCATTTTACCTGTGCAGCAGTTTGTTTCAGACTGTTCTCCTGGCGCCCTGTGATGTAGACGGTGGCTCCCGCCTCAGACAGCTGGAGAGCTATTCCTCTTCCGATACCCCTGGAGGCACCTGTTACCACACACACCCAGCCAGACAGGGACATACTTTCTCTGGGAGAGGAGACAACACCACATAGGATAAGCAGGCAGCACAATCACACACGACTACAAGTAAAGGTCAACTGGGAAAGAAATTGCAACATGGCTGTATAAAGGTAGAAAAATTGCATGACCTCCTTCCACTGTCCATAGTTCAGTGTAACTCTAAAGGAGCTATTTATTGCCTTACACAACATTAGGTCCAGTCACTGTTACACAACATTGTGAATGTGCAGCTGACACTGATATAAGGACATACGATGAAGGATATAAGACTCTGTGTGAAATGATGTATCAGGAACTAAATGTAAACTTTGCCCAAACTGTAAAAGTATATATTTACACTGTATAAAGACATAGCAAGGCTACTGCTATATTGTATACAGGAGGAAAACCCACGTATTGTTTTGATACACCCAAAACATCTGCTGACGTTATACCAGGACACATTCTTCTGATGTAACGTTAAAGAGCTATTTTTACTCATGTTTTCGTGGTTTTCATCGTTCTTATGAAACACGAGCTAATTTATTTTGAACAATTGTTTTTTTCTCTTCATTTCAGCCAAACCTTTGCTGCTAACAACTTTATGACGAATTTATTGCCGTCATAAAACAGAATAGTTGGTGTAACATAAACCCTTTCACGAGAAAGACTTCTCAGATAAACCGACGACACGTTTTCCCATTTTGATTAAATGCCAATTCACGCCTATCAGGGGCAACACTCTGCGGCTATTTAACACTGTATACTGTAAAAGAAAACAAAGAAAAGAACACCAATACCTTATTCCACACAAAGCGCTGGATGCGGGTTGTTAACTCCTAACGACAGTCCTGCGACAAAGCAACTTATCGACACAAACGTGAGTGCTGCTGTGAGCAGTGGTGATGATACACCGTGTGGCGCCTCGAGCTACAACTATGTGACAGTTACGGCTATCAAACACCAGACTGGATCTGCCGTGGTATCGCGAGAACTCGCGTAACAAAACAGAGAGTGAGTGGAGGTGACGACGATTCAGTTTCCTCCTCCGCCTAAATTGGGACAGACGAACGTTAGTCATAGTTGTGATGAGAGAACAAACAGTCATTAGTAATGTCCAGCCATATTCGCCCCAGATATTCTGGTTTTGAAGTGAACAGTCAGAGAGTACTTATGTTATGTTATGAGCTACCAGTGACGTTTTCTAGCTTATACTGTCAATGGCCAGAATCAGTGAACTATCTTGGTGGTGAGTGACGGTGGTCGTCTTTGGTAATTCACAATAATTCACACATGGTGGCGCTGTTGTAAATAAATACACGTAGCCTGTAAATACTGGCACAGATGGATCATAGGCAGTATATGTAAGGGATGGATGAAAATGGTAAGCATTTAATCACCTGATAGTCAGGGACATAGTAGGGTGTAAACTCAGGTCATCAACCTCTTTGAAAGGAGGCTGCAAGTTCACTCATCTATTTTCAGATAAACCTATCTCTTAGTGAGGGGAGGCTGTGTGTATTTACCTCTACACCCCTGCTGATATCAAAAATGAGCTGGACAGACATTTTAGTCAACCCTTATCAACAAGTGGAACCTTATTCTTCATCATGATCAACATCAATGCGGAATGCTATATATTTGCTTGTTTAAAGCTTTTGAATACACCTCCCTTCTTGTCAGTTTTTCTAATCTAACAGTAAACCCATACAGGCTCAACATTTAATAAGGTTTTTTTTCAGGATCCTCTTCTGTCAAAATCAGAATCAGGTTTATTACCAAGTAAGTTTTCACACACAAGGAGTTTGCCTTGGCACATAAGAATCACAGTGAAGCATAGAAAAATATAACTAAAGATAAGATAAAAATAGAGACAGTAAAAAGGAGCCGCTATATACAAATATAAAGTATATGGAAACCAGATCTGTAAACAGTTGCAGTGACGACGGTAAAGGGGAATCTATTACTGGAGACGTTGCTGTTAGATTTGTTTAAAGAAATCAACACAAACTAAATGTCATTCGCCCAGGTAGGAATCACAAAGGGGGAAACCTGGGTGAATAAATCCCAGAGTAAGACAGAAAATACGTTTTTCTGTAATTTGTGTGAAATATCTCTTTAAATCATATTCTAGTTTTAATCATGCTAAATGTACATCTTTGACAGATTGGCCTCATTGAACACTGTTCCACCACCATGTCCCAGGGAAGAGAGTGACTCTGTGACGTTGCACGTGTGCATGTTGTTATGGGATGTTATAGTTTCAGTTTTCTGCATTCAGAATGCTCCATTTAATTAACTCAGCAACTTCTGGCTTCTCTTATATCACAAAAAAGCCCCCAATCGAAAACATTAGGCAATCATGTTAGCACATCAACTTTACGGGAAACGCCTGCACTGATTTGTGAACATTGGAAGGAGTTTCAAGCAACATTTGTCAATGTCAAATAAAGCAAATGCTGACTTGTGATAGCAGATTCTGTTTTATGTTGTTTACGACATGGCTCTTAGCTTTTGGAAAGATTGTAATTCCTTTATCTCTTTCTTGCTTTTTTAAAGAACAGCTGTGTCGTATTTTACTTTTATTTTATTTTAGCTCTACCACGTGATTTGTACAGTTATTATTAACCCACATCCATGCCGTAAAACAAACTCATGGAAGACTTTTTAATCATTAACTCAATGTTTGTCAGTTTCAATTTGCAGAATTTATCGTTATGAGTTCAGGACTTTTCACCTCAAATTTTGTGAAATGACCTCCTTACTAAGCATTAATTAAAATGATACTGAAATATTGAAGACAATATTTGAATGTAGTTTTTTTTCTCTCCAGTTTCTGGTTTCAAGGAGTCCCCTTTTGCAATCATATTGATTTATTGTGTCCCCACAATGTTTGCTGAAGATAAACAAAAATGTCTGTTACACTGTAACTAATTCACGATTAACGGTATAAAAAACATTAAGACTGCTGGAAGAAGAGATTTATGACACCAGGCAAACAGTGCAATGGCTGGAGGTTCTTACTTCATTTGGATTCCCTTCCTCCTGTGTTGTGTCTTTGAAGCTTCTGACAACAGACATGGTAAGGAACAGTAATCCATCCACACTGCACTCGGTTAGTAAGCAGCAAATAAAACGTACATAATTGTTCATTTTGAAGTTTCTCTGTTTTCTCAGTCCACCAGAATGTGAATCTTTTAACTGGCCGTACAGGAGAATTAGAGTTGGACCAAATCACTTCAAAGCTTCCAGTGAGTCCCCCAAACTGTGACTTATTGAGGGAGATAAACACATTTATATTAGGCTACATTGCAATTTGGGAAATAATGCTCTGTCTTCTGTCCTGTTGACTTCAGATAACAGTACCAGAAGAAATTAATCTCAAGAATATAAATATAACAGTATGCAACAAATCCAACAATTTCATGCCAATGCATATCTCCTGTGGTTTGTTGTTAAAGTTACCAATGTTAAACCTTTATTACATAATCTACTTTTTGTATTTTTGTCAACCAATGCAATATTTTTTTTTTCCTTCACAGTCAACGACGGTCAAAACCTGTACTGGTGAGTGGTTCTTTATACTTACCTGCACATTATGAATCGCCTTAGCAGCGGTAAAACTTCCCATTGTAAATGTACACAATGGTTTAGGCTGAAACTGTAACCCTATATAAACATATTGTGACATATCTGACATTACTAACATGTCTTGTCAGGTATGAAGGAGCAGCTGGAACTGCTTGACAGCCAGCTTCAGCAGATAACTCACCGCAACAGCCTACTAGGTGAGCATTTATCCTTTTAGAATCTGAGGTATACTGTTAGTTAGGAACGGTGGGTTAACTGTTGCTCCGATATAACCTGTACTCTCTCTGACAGGTAATGAAGCCTTTGGATTGAGGAGTGAAGTCAGACTGCTGAAACTGCAGCTGGCTGCGTGCAGTTCAACAGCATCAACTATTACTGACTGTAAGCTTCTGATTTTAAATCATACATTCATGGCACATTTTTAAATGATACACTTAGGGCAGCATAAACCAATGTTTTACCATATCTTTAATTCCTTGACAGCTTATCAGATCCAGTTACAAAACAAAATGAAACAGCTTCTCGAGACGGACAGTGGCATGTTTCTGAGTAAGTTCACCTGACTTGGAGTTAAACCTTTTGTTTATTGTCATCATATGGGTTAAAGTTTCAGTTTGATCTAATATAGCTGTCTTTTTCTAGTTCTGAAAACCATTGCACTCACCAGGGAGGTGAATTCATTAGAGGGGAAGATCAAACGTGCTGCAAATTCTACTGAAACTACTCCTGAATTTGAAGGCAAGTGTTATTTCATTGCTCTAAATCCACTGGAAAAGTCTTAACAATTCAATTCACCATTCTGTTACTGTCAATACAATATTCTCCAATATCTTGTATTTATCTTGTATTATGCTAATTCTGTTGGTATCTTCTGTGAGAATGTCTTTGTTGGCTTTGGCTAAATGTCTTTGAATTAAAATGTTTCATGTCTCACAGTGTTGCAGAGACAGCTGCGAGAGAAAACCACTGAACTGAATGAAAAGATGCAGCAGATTGAAAGAAGCCACACAAACTCTTCACTGAGTATGAGCTCTTTAAAATGATTTACAAGACATTTGTAGAACAGCTATTGGCAGTCTCAAGGATTGCTGGGCTGTTGATCTGTTTTGATTTGTACAAACTTTAGATATAAGCCTTACACAGTACAGTAGTACATGGTCCTGATTTGACTTGTTTTTGTGTGTGCTCAGTTCTTCAAGTCATTTCACTGCAAAATCAGATCTGGGATTTGGAACAGGCAAAATCAAGAAGAGGAGGAGCTAGTCTTCAACCCGACCAGAGAATTATGGGTACGTTGTTGTTCACTTGAAGGAAATACTGAAATGCTAAGGTATGTAAATTGCTTGCCCATAATTCAGGCAGTGCATTTGAAGCAAGACAATGTAACGTTTGAAGAAAAACACATTCTGCCTTTCACAGATAAAAAGTAGAATTTATAAATGAAGTGTAACAAATCTCCATTCAATACTCTTTTTGCTGCCGCAGCCTTGGTCTGGTATTACCAGAAGCGTATGTGGCTAATGTTAGAAAACGTTAGAAAACGTTTTTGCTGTCTCATCTGACTTTATGACTCCATTCTTACTCCATAGCTTAGCATTTTAGCTAAATGAGTTAGCTAAATTCAGTAGTTCATACTAAACAGTATTTCAACATTTAGCATTATCTCATAATTGTCATTTGTTTTCTGGCCACTGTTCACGAAAGTTACATAGTCTCACTTTTACATCACCTGGCTTTATATCTTATATGGTCAGTTTAGCAGTTTTGTTTGGAAGGACTCCATCTTTAGCATTTTATGTCTGTGTTTATGATTTGTTCTCTGCTTAATCACTTTCTACTCATCAGCACTACAAGACCAACTGGACAGGAAGATCAGTGAGTTGCGAGGCAACAGAGATGCAGGCTCAAATAGTCAGTACACCTCTCTACATCTGTCAATATTTCCATTATGATTAACAATATTAAAGGTCCAGTGTGTAACATTTAGGAGGATCAATTGGCAGAAATGGATTATAATATTCCTAGGTATATTTTCATTAGTGTATAATCACCTGAAAATAAGAGCCATTGTGTTTTTGTTACCTCAGAATGAGACGTTTCTATCTACAGAGGGAGTGGGTCCTCTTCCATGGAGGCCACCATGTTGAACCACCATGTTTCTCCTTCGCATCAAGGGGTTTCACGTGGTCGCAATCTGCAACTTCACCTCTTGTTGCCATTAAATCCTACACACTGGTCCTTTCAAATTTTAGAATTCAACCATTTCTAACGTGCGTCCTCTGTTGGTCCTCCAGTGCTGGAGCTGGTTTCTGTGCACAGTAAGATCACAATGATACAGAGGCTCATCAGTGTCCACATTGAGAAATCCAGAACTAATACTATTGGTGAGCCCTTATACTTGAGATGTCTTGAGATGTCACAGTATAGTAGTTCCTGCCTTATCTTGTATGGGACATTCTTTATGTTTCTTTTTCAGATTACCAGAGGCAATGGAGGCAAAAAGCTGAGCTCCTTAAAAGGAAGATTTCGCAGTTGAACCGTGAGGAGAGTAATACAGATCTTAGTAAGTGTGCAACTCAACAATGCACCTTTGTGTTGTTATTATTGTGTTTACTACAGCATTAACTTGACATCCTTCATCTTTCATGTTTTTCTCCAGCCAAGGAAATTTTTAAGTTGCAGACCGAGATCGAGAATTTAAGACAGTTATTATCAAACGCCAAAAAGACAAGTGATTTCCAACTTAAAGGTTGGTTAACCAAGACTCTATGAAATTCGATTTACTTGAATGTTTGAAGTTGCAAGTCACAATGTGGAATTATGAAATGATAAAGCTAGAAACAAATCTTATAGTTACTCTAACAGCAGAAAGCCATACATAGTTGTCTTTTTCATCCTAGAGCTAAGAGTTATTTTGGAGAAGGAAAAGAAACAGCAAGAAAACGTACAGAAACAACTTGAGGAAACAGACTATGCTCAGGCACAACTGAGTAAGTATGAGCAGGGCATCCAGAATTTGACTTTCAACTGTCCCAGACCTAACAACCATTGTCCCAAACTGACGTTTTTTTTCATTCTACATAACGAATATAGTTCAACAACAACAATAATGTTGTTTCAATAACTCACATCACTTCACTGACTCACTCTGGTCCGCCATGGAAGTTCTGCTAGTTGTTCCCTGCACAAAATTGACCCACCTTCACCCTAGCTGTTTGGCCACAATCACTTTTCATTATTCTTTTAATAATTCATTGTTTGATCTATAAATGCACTGCCACAAACTACAGTGCAAATGCAAAGCATTATATGATTGGTATACATAGAAACTCACAACCTCTTTGAACATTATTATTATTTGGCCAAAACATGACTAACCCTACAGGGACAGCACAAATTTGAAATAAAAAGTTGTTTAAAAGATCTACAAATATAGGGAGAGGATTTAAATATTTACAATCTTAAAAAAAGTATTTACATACTGACTTACTGATAACGCCATAATCCAGAGATCCGGAAAGAAGGAGTGACAGAGAAGGTCAAACATAACACGCCACATCTACTGACTTCCTTCGTTTGCAGAAGAGCTGCGGACTGCAATTATTCTGAGCAACATACATGGAAAAGAATTACAACATAACACATTTCTCACCTTGTCCCTGATGGTCTGAATAAATTATGACATTTGTCACTGGCCGCTTTTTAGAAATAAAGTTGCAGACAGTTGCTGAAATGTTGCTAAATCAATTTGAAAAACGTTCTACTTTAACTGTTGTGTTATCTCCACCAAGAAAGAAACACCAAAGCACCCACATACAGTATACATATATCACCCCAGTCCAAATACTGAAGTCTTTTCCTTTACTTCATAGTCATGACTATTATCAGCACAATGAAAGAGTTGAGAGAGCTGGCGGTTGATCAGCCAGACCAGACAACATCAACAAGTGACGCCACCAGTGAGTCCTCCTCCGCTTCTGTTGTTAAAGTCAGATAAGATAAGTAATTGGTGGTTTACACTAACACAAATCTCTTGCACGCCTTTGTTTTAAATCAGCTCTCCAGACTGTGCTTCAAACCAAAGAAAGGGAATATACCAAAGCTCAGGCTGAAATAAAGGGTGAGTCTGTTTTATTCTTATAGATAAAACTTCAAAGCACAATTTCAAATGAAAGTTTTGAAGACCTGACCTCATCTGTCTGTACAACAGAGCTGCAGAGGAAGCTGCAGTTAAAAAGTGAAGAATGCGCTGGGCTTGAGGAAAGATATGAGCGTGAGTTGTCAACTTCAGCTCAAGGCTCTGATGATTCATGTTTTAGTTTTCAGTTCTGATTTGGTTTATGTGTGTGTTTCTATCAGAGGTAAAGACTGAATTTGAACAGAAGATTGTACAACTGAACAGAACCGGAGACTCCAAAGCAGCACTCAGTGAGTAACGTTAATATGCAACATTATTGGCCCTAGTGCAGTGCATTATTCACATTATAGTTGAAATCTCTCATCT